TAGTTGTTTAGGCTACAGTGGGTTAGCCTATAGGGGGTACACATTCCTAGGTTTTGATACTTGTACTCATTTCACTCTTAGTTCATTCATTCTTGTTCAACATGTGTGTGTGTGTGTGTGAGTGTGTATGTGTGTGTGTGCGTGCGTGTGTGTGTGTGTAGGTGTGTGTGTGCGCGTACGCGTCCGTGTGCGTGAGTGTGTGTGAGGGTATGTGTGTGCGTATGTATGCGTATGTATGCGTATGTGTGCGTGTGTGTGCGTGTGTGTGTGTGCGCGTGCGCGTGCGAGCGTGGGTGTGTGTGTGCGTGTTGTGTGTGCGCATAGGCGTGCGTGTGTGTGAGTGAGTGTGAGGGTGTGTGTGTGCATATGTATGCGTGTGTGTGTGAGTGTATGTGTGCGCGTGCGTGTGTGTGAGTGTGTGTGAGTGTGTGTGTGTGTGTCTGTGTGCGTATGTATGCGTGTGTGTGCCTGTGTGTGTTTGTGCGCTTGCGCGTGCGAGCATGGGTGTGTCAGATTTATATGACATAGTTGCTGTAGGCTATAGTGGGGTAGCACATATGGGGTACAGGTTTTCTAGGGTTGTATTTGTACCCAATCTTTCCTTAGTCATTTCATTCCTGTTTTCTTTACTTCACATGGTATAGAGCGGGTCCTACCTTAGGACCATTTTTTTTAGGGCCCACCGAAGCGCGCCCCGAGGCGCGCCTTTTTTTTTAGCGACCCCCTCGGGTCGCCTTTTCCCTCGCGGCCCCGCTGTCCCTCAGACGCGGCCCCGCCACCTCTCCTGATCGCGGCCCCGCCGCCTGTTTGACGCGGCCTCGCCGCCTACCCTGACGCGGCTCCGCCGCCTCCCCTGACGCGGCCTCGCCGCCTCCCCTGACGCGGCTCCGCCGCCTCTCCTGACGCGGCCCCGCCGCCTGTCTGACGCGGCCCCGCCGCCTCCCCTGACGCGGCCCTGCCGCCTCCCCTGACGCGGCTCCCCCGCCTCCCCTGACGCGGCACCGCCGCCTCCCCTGACGCGGCTCCCCCGCCTCCCCTGACGCGGCCCTGCCGCCTCCCCTGACGCGGCCCTGCCGCCTCTCCTGCCGGCCCGCCACTGCACCTGCCGGCCTGCCGCTGCACCTGCCGGCCCGCCACTGCACCCTACGGCCCGCCGCTGCACCTGCCGGCCCGCCACTGCACCTGCCGGCCTCGCCGCTGCACCTGCCGGCCTCGCTGCTGCACCTGCCGGCCCGCCGCTGCACCCTACGGCCCGCCACTGCACCCTACGGCCCGTCGCTGCACCTGCCGGCCCGCCACTGCACCTGCCGGCCCGCCTCTGCACCTGCCGGCCCGCCACTGCACCGGTCAACCCGCCGCTGCACCTGACGGCCCCGCCCCTGCATCTCCTGGCCGAGCCGCCTCAGCAGCCGAACCGCCCGTGAGCCGAGCCGCCCGACGCCGAGCCGCCCGGGACCCGAGCCGCCCTGCCGCCGAGCCGCCCGGGAGCCGAGCCGCCCTGCACCCGAGCCGCCCAGCCGCCGAGCAGCCCGGGAGCCGAGCCGCCCTGCGCCCGAGCCGCCCAGCAGCCGAGCCGCCCAGCACCCGAGCCGCCTTTCTGCATACCTACACGACCTGCCCTGCCTGGTGAGCACAGTCCCACTGACACTGCGAGCTCTTTCCCTTCTGCTAGCACTGCGTCGCTGTCGTCGCCATGGCTACCCCTAGTGTCCTAGCTTTTGACGCTGAGGGTCGCGCCATTGATTTTGAGGTCTGGTTAGACGACCTGCAGCTTTTCTTACAGTGCGACAGGGCTGACGACCTTCCTCTCTTTGATCTCACCTCTGGCGCCTCTCCTGCTCCTGCTGCTGATGCTGAGCCCGCTGTCCGCTCTAAGTGGGCCACCCGCGATGCTGCTGCACGTCTTGCTGTGCGTCGCCACCTCCCTACCTCTGAGCGTGCGCACTTCAGTCAGTACAAGAGTGCTCAGACCTTGTACGACGCTGTAGTTGCGCGCTACTCCTCCCCTGCCACTGCTGCACTGAGCCGTCTCATGCTTCCCTACCTCTTTCCTGACCTCTCTGCCTTTCCCACTGTCGCTGACCTCATTACGCACCTCCGCACTAGTGACACTCGCTACCGCGCCGCCCTTCCTGCTGAGTTCTGCGCTAAGAACCCCCCCCCCATGTACATCGCTCTCTACTACGTAGTCGCGCGCCTCCCTGACTCCCTTCGAGTCGTCAGGGACCACTTTCTCGCAGTCTGTCCCACCACCCTCTCCGTCGACCTCCTCGAGAAGGCCCTCCTCGCAGCGGAGAAGAGCATCGTCGCTGTAGGTGCTTCTCGTGGTGACCCTCGCACCCCCATCTTTGAGGGGTGCTCTCCTTCCCCCTTGCTGCCCTCTGTTGCCTCTGCTGCTGCTGCCGACCTGCTTGGTCTAGAGTCGGTCGGCGCGGCGTCTGCCCCTAGTGGGAGACGTCGCTCCAGCAAGGGCAAGGGGGGCAAGGGCGCGGGTGGAGCTGGAGGGGGCGGTGGCGGTGGCGGCGGTGGCGGCGGAGGGAGTGGGGGTGGCGGCGGGGCTAGTGGCGGGGGTGGTGGTGGTGGTGGCAGCAGCGGCGGAGACGGTGGTGGTGGTGCCAGCGGTGGTGGTGGAGGCAGCGGCGGAGGTTGAGGCGGCGGAGGTGGAGGCGGTGGAGGCGGCAGCGGAGGAGGCAGTGGTGGTGGAGGGGGTAGATCTGGTCGGGGTGGTACCCAGCAGCGTAGCGGCGGTGGTGGTGGCCAGCGCTCGCAGCGGCAGCAGCAGCAGCGCTCTCGGGACATCCCTTCGCCTCAGCAACTTCGTGAGTGGTACGCTGGGCGTCAGAGGGGTGGGGGTACTGGTCCCTGCACCTACGTTCTTCGTTCCGGCGACCGCGCGGGTGAGCAGTGTGGGGGTGCCCACGCGACCCAGCGCTGCTTTGGCCGCCTGACGGACGCCTGGCGTCAGCAGTTCCCTGGGGCTAGTGAGATCCCTCGCTGGGATGAGCTTCTCAGGGCTGGTGTAGCGATCTTTGATCTTGATTTTGATGCTATCCTTACTGCTATGTATGTTGTGGATTATAGTGAGGAGAATGAGGGTTACCGCTGTTTCCAGCCGGACCCGGGCATTGGTCCTGCTGCGCTAGGTGCTTGTGAGGCTGCTGCTCTAGGTGCCAGTGCGTCTGCGCTCTCAGGTACTGGTGAGACTGCGCTCTCAGGTACTGAGTCGTCCTCGTCCTCCCTCACTTTCACACTTGACTCCGGAGCTTCTCGCTCCTTCTTTCGAGACCGCACTACCCTTACGCCGCTTGGCCGGCCGGTTGCGGTCTCCCTTGCTGACCCCTCTGGGGGTCCTGTCCTGTCTCACTTCTCCACTGTCCTCCCGTGTCCGGCTGCCCCTTCGGGCACCCTGTCGGGTCTGTACCTTCCCTCGTTCTCTACGAACTTGGTGAGTGGAGCGGACCTGCAGGATGGGGGTGTTCACCAGTTCACTCCTGCGCGTCAGCGGGTGACCCACTGCACGGAGGCTCGCACAGGCCGACACCTGGCCACGTTCTCGCGTCGGCCGGGGTCGAGTCTCTACACCCTGACCGTTGAGTCTCCTCCTGTCCCTGCGTCTGGTCAGGTGGCTGCGTCGGGTCAGGTACTTGCTGCTGCGTCCCGGTCAGGTCCTGAGTCTGCCCCCTGTTCTTGTCGCCTCCTGTCTCACGAGACTCTCCTGTGGCACCACCGTCTTGGCCACCCCTCCTTGCCCCGTCTTCGGAGCATGGCTTCCCGTGTCCTTGTCTCTGGTCTTCCCCAGTCTCTCCCTCCTCTCCCCTCCGGGCCAGGACCTTCCTGTGTCCCCTGTGTCGAGGGTCGCCTCCGGGCTACTCCTCACTCCTCCCACTTCCCCCCGACAGAGGCTCCCCTGCAGACGCTTCACATGGATGTGTGGGGCCCAGCTCCCGTCCGTGGGCAGGGTTACGAGCGCTACTTCCTGTTGGTGGTTGACGACTACTCGCGTTACACCACAGTCCTCCCCTTGCGCAGCAAGGGTGCGGTCACTGAGGTGCTGATCGAGTGGATCCGCGAGGCTCGTCTCCAGCTCAGGAAGAGCTTCGGCTCGGACTTTCGTGTTCTGCGTCTGCACTCTGACCGAGGCGGAGAGTTCTCTTCTCGCCTTCTGCGAGACTACTGTCGTGCACGGGGGATCCGCCAGACCTTCACGCTTCCGGACTTACCACAGCAAAATGGGATTGCTGAGCGCCGCATTGGCATGGTCATGGATGTCGCTCGTACGTCCATGATGCAAGCGGCTGCCCCCCATTTTCTGTGGCAGTTTGCGGTGAGGTACGCGGCGCATCAGCTCAACCTTCACCCCCGGGTCTCTCGGCCTGCGATGTCCCCAGCCTTGCTGTGGACGGGGAAGGTTGGCGATGCGTCTGTGTTCCGTGTCTGGGGATCTCGGGCGTTTGTCCGCGACTTGTCTGCGGACAAGCTGTCCCCTCGCGCTGCTCCCTGTGTCTTCCTTGGCTTCCCCACTGACGCCCCAGGGTGGCAGTTTTACCACCCCTCCTCTCGTCGTGTTCTGTCCTCCCAGGACGTCACGTTCGACGAGTCAGTCCCCTTCTACCGTCTCTTCCCCTACCGCACTCCTTCCCTCCCCCCTCCCCCGGACTTCCTTGTGCCGGTTCCCCCCCCGGTAGACCCCCTCCCCCCTCAGGTTCCTGCCCCCTCAGGTGTGTCCCAGGTAGACGCCGTTGACCCGGTCGAGGTTACTGGTGACTCTGGTGCTGCTGCGGGTGCTGAGCCTGGGGGTGCTGACTCTGGGGGTGCTGTGCGCAGGGGTGCTGAGCCTGGGGGTGCTACTACTGGGGGTGCTGGGCCTGAGGGTGCTACTGCGGAGGGTGCGGAGCCTGGGGGTGCTGAGCCGGGGGGTGCTGTGCCTGGAGGTGCTGGGTCTGGGGGTGCTGGGTCGGGAGCTGCTGAGCCTGGGGGTGCTGAGCTGGGAGCAGCTGCGCATGGGGGTGCTGCGTCTGGAGCTGCTGAGCCTGGGGTTTCTCCTGCTGCTGCGTCTCGCCGGGAGCCCCTCTCTCCACAGGAGCTGCGCGAGTGGTTCGCTCGCCGCTGGAGGCGTGCTGCTGAGTCTGGAGGTGCTGCTGGAGCTGGGGCTGGAGCTTCTTCGACCGTCGAGGGTGCGGGTGCTGCCGGTCCCGGAGCTGCTGGACCTGCGGGTCCTCCTGGAGCTGGAGCTGCTGAGGGCGTTGGTGCTGAGCCTACTGCTGTTGGTCCTGCCGCTGGAGGTGTGGGTGGCGCTAGTGCTGTCGCTGAGGGTGCTGGTGCTGTCCCTGCTGAGTCTGGAGCTGCCGCGCGGCCTCGGCCGTACTTCGTTCCGCTCCTGCAGCAGGTTCTTGGTCTTTCTCCTCCAGTAGAGGGTCCACCGCCTGTCCAGTCGCAGTCCCTGCTGGAGCCTTCCTCTCCACTGCCTGCTCCCTCTCCTTACACTGGTCCTACTGGAGGTCTTGCTGAGCGTCGTGAGCCTGCGTCTCGTCCCGCGTCGCCTGTTCGTGCTGCTCGCGCTAGTGGTCGCAGTTCGCGTCAGCGTCCTCCTCCTGTCCCTGGCACGCACCGGATGTCTTTACGTCCGTCCACTGCTCCTCTGCGTGCCCCTTTGCCTTCTCCTCCTGAGTCCTCTCTTCCTGCACTTGCCGACCCTGAGTCGGACTCTCTTCGTGCTGCCAGTCCTACTGTCACGCGTCTGCTTGCTACTGTCGTCACTGACCCCTCTTTTGAGTCCACTGCTGCGTCTGCTCTAGTCGCTGAGCTCGTCGACTTTGCTGCTCGCTGTCGTCTCGACTACGCTGCTAGTCTTGTTGCTGAGTCTGCGTCTGTCTGTCCTCCGTCCGTCGGGGGTGAGTGTGCTCTTGGCACGGACGTCCTAGAGGACAGGCAGGAGGAGTTACAGTGTCTAGCGGCTGCTTCACCTCATCTCGCGTCTGTACTGCTTGCCCCTGAGGGAGACCCGGATGCACTAGACATCCCGACTCCGCGTTCTTACGCGGAGGCCGTAGAGGGTCCCTACTCCTCTCAGTGGCAGGCAGCTATGGATGCAGAGATGGCTTCCTGGAAGTCCACAGGCACCTACGTTGACGCGGTTCCCCCTCCTGGGGCGAACATCGTCAGTGGCATGTGGATCTTCAGGGTGAAGCGGCCGCCGGGCTCTCCACCTGTCTTCAAGGCACGGTACGTTGCTCGTGGCTTCAGTCAGCGGCAGGGAGTTGACTACTTTCAGACCTTCTCTCCCACCCCGAAGATGACTACTCTTCGGGTGCTGCTGCACATAGCCGCTCAGCGCGACTACGAGCTTCACTCTCTCGACTTCAGCACTGCGTTCTTGCAGGGTAGCCTGCACGAGGAGATCTGGCTTCGCCGTCCACCTGGCTTCACTGGGACTTTCCCTCCTGGCACCCAGTGGAGCCTCCGACGGTCTCCGCCAGGCACCGCGTGAGTGGCACGACACACTGAGGACTACGCTTGCGGCTCTTGGGTTTGCTCCTTCTACTGCTGACCCGTCGCTGTTTCTTCGCACCGACACTTCCCTGCCGCCGTTCTACATCCTCGTGTACGTCGACGACTTGGTCTTTGCCACAGCGGACACTGCTGGACTCGCCTACGTGAAGTCCGAGCTGCTGAAGAGACACACGTGCACAGACCCGGGTGAACTGCGCAGCTACCTTGGCTTGCAGATCACTCGGGACAGAGCACGCCGCACCATTACCTTGACTCAGTCACACATGGTGCAGCAGGTCCTTCAGCGCTTCGGCTTCACGTACTCCTCGCCTCAGGCCACTCCTCTGCCTACTCGCCACTCACTCTCAGCTCTGCCTTCGGATGAGTCCGTAGAGTCGAGTGGTCCGTATGCAGAGCTTGTTGGCTGCCTCATGTACCTGATGACCTGCACACGACCTGACCTTGCATACCCTCTTAGCATTCTTGCACGCTATGTTGCTCCTGGGAGACACAGACCGGAGCACATGGCTGCAGCGAAGAGGGTATTGCGCTACCTGTGCAGTACGTCGGGCATGGGGCTAGTGCTTGGAGGGCGGAGTCCAGTGGTCCTTACCGGCCACGCGGACGCTTCTTGGGCTGACGACCAGGCTACGCAGCGGTCGTCACAGGGTTACACCTTCAGCCTTGGTTCCGGCTCTGTCTCGTGGCGGTCTACTCGCTCGTCTTCGGTTCTCGGCTCCAGTTGTGAGGCTGAGATCTACGCCGGGGCCATGGCTGCACAGGAGCTTCGATGGCTCACCTACCTGCTGACTGACCTTGGAGAGCCGCCTCGTTCTCCTCCAGTGCTGTACGTAGACAACAAGGCCATGCTGGCCTTGTGTCGAGAGCAGCGCTTGGAGCACAGAACGAAGCACATTGCTCTCCGCTACTTGCGTACGTGGCCTCTGAGGCCAACACTGCTGATGTGTTCACCAAGGCACTCGCGCCTTGTGACCATCAGCGCTTTTGCACCCAGCTGGGTCTTGTGCCTGTCTTGCCTCACTTGCTCTCCTCTTGACTTCACTTGTACTGTGACATATATATATGCCTGCTCTTGCTTGTCTAGTTTTATATATATGTCTGTACTCCTGCATGTGAACTGGCCTCTGGCCCTACTCTTGTGCTCGGACTGTGTGGTGACTTTGTGATCCACCCTGAGCTTGCTTTGCTTTGCTTGACTGGTCTTGTGACCCCTTGTTCTCCCCCACTTTGCCTATGGGGGTGTGTCAGATTTATATGACATAGTTGCTGTAGGCTATAGTGGGGTAGCACATATGGGGTACAGGTTTTCTAGGGTTGTATTTGTACCCAATCTTTCCTTAGTCATTTCATTCCTGTTTTCTTTACTTCACAGGGTGCCTGTGTGTGTGTGCGTGCTTGTGCGTGTGTGTGTGTAAATGTCTGCGTGCGCGTGCGCGTGCGTGTGTGTGAGTGTGTGCGAGGGTGTGTGTATGCGTGTGTGTGTGTGTGTGTGTGTGTGCGTGTGTGTGTGTGTGTGTGCGCATGCGGTGTATGTGTGAGTATGTGTGTGTGTGTGTGTCTGTGTGTGAGGGTTTGTGCATGCGTGAGCATGTGTGTGTAACTGGGATTATGTCTTGTGAGCATGGAGCTTCAAGTCTTGTTGGAACGTATTTGGGTGCCTGTATTCGACATCGCCTAAACAACGAGCCTTTTTTTTGCACCCATGCCTGAATGGACATGCATTTTGCAGGCTATGGAGAGCGGTAGCAACACGCTTGCAGCCACCAGCTTCAGTGTTAGCTGGAAAGAAAGCATTGAGGATGGGTGTGACAAGTGGAAAGCACATGCGCTGGCCGCGCCGGGTGACATGACCAAGCTCGCGGGGCTGTTGGAAGGCAAGACCGAGGAAGGCGAGGTACTAAATGGTACCATACGTGTGAAGAACGGCATGGCTATTCCAGGCGACGAGGATTTCACCAAGTACTCCAGTCAGACACATTATGTGCAAGCGTGCGCGTCTTTCGGCGACAAACCATGGTTCAACGATGTAGCAGTGCTTGGTGAAGAGGAGGTTGAGGCTGCAGGAGGCCAAAAAACAAGGCGGAAGGTAATATGGTATGCAAGACTCCTGCTGTTGTTTACCATCGACGTGTACACGCCAGAGACAAAGGCGTTTTCCAAGCACGCGTACGCATTTGTCCGCTATTTCAGAGCCACTGGTGCGGTGCACGCATCGAAATGCCCGGTGTATGCTTGGGAGGCAGGTGACTGTGAGAATGAGAACGAGAATGAATGAACTATGAATGAAGTGGGTACAAGTACTAACCCTAATTGTGTTGTACCCCCTATGGGATACCCCACTATAGCCTACACAAAAGCATAAGCTATAATGTTCTGACACACCCCCATAGGCAAAGTGGGGGAGAACAAGGGGTCACAAGACCAGTCAAGCAAAGCAAAGCAAAGCAAGCTCAGGGTGGATCACAACGTCACCACACAGTCTGAGCACAAGGTCGAGGCCACAAGGCCAGTTCACATGCAGGAGGAGACATATATATATATATAAGTCTAAACAAGCAAGAGCAGGTATATATATACATATGCAAGAGTACAAGTAAGGTCAAGAGGTGAGAAAGTGAGGCAAGACTGGGACAAGTCCCAGCTGAGTGCAGAAACGCTGATGATCACAAGGCGGAAGTGCCTTGGTGAAAACATCAGCAGTGTTGGCCTCAGAGGCCACGTACGCAAGTCGCAACTAACCACGCTGCTGCAGCTCACGAGCAAGAAAGTAGCGGAGAGCAATGTGCTTCGTTCTGTGCTCCAAGCGCTGCTCTCGACACAAGGCCAGCATGGCCTTGTTGTCTACGTACAGCACTGGAGGAGAACGAGGCGGCTCTCCAAGGTCAGTCAGCAGGTAGGTGAGCCAGCGAAGCTCCTGAGCAGCCATGGCCCCGGCGTAGATCTCAGCCTCACAACTGGAGCCGAGAACAGAAGACGAGCGAGTAGCCCGCCACGAAACAGAGCCGGAACCAAGACTGAAGGTGTAACCCTGCGACGACCGCTGCGTAGCCTGGTCGTCAGCCCAAGAAGCGTCCACGTGCCCAGTGAGGACCACTGGACTGCGCCCTCCAAGCACTAGCCCCATGCCCGACGTACTGCACAAGTAGCGCAACACCCTCTTCGCTGCAGCCATGTGCTCTGGTCGGTGTCTCCCAGGAGCAACATAGCGTGCGAGAATGCTAAGAGGGTATGCAAGGTCAGGTCGTGTGCAGGTCATCAGGTACATGAGGCAGCCAACAAGCTCTGGGTACGGGCCACTCAACTCTACGGACTCATCCGAAGGCAGAGCTGAGAGCGAGTGGCGAGTAGACAGAGGAGTGGCCTGAGGCGAGGAGTACGTGAAGCCGAAGCGCTGAAGGACCTGCTGCACCATGTGTGACTGAGTCAAGGTAATGGTGCGGCGTGCTCTGTCCCGAGTGATCTGCAAGCCAAGGTAGCTGCGCAGTTCACCCAGGTCTGTGCACGTGTGTCTCTTCTCCAGCTCGGACTTCACGTAGGCGAGTCCAGCAGTGTCCGCTGTGGCAAAGACCAAGTCGTCGACGTACACGAGGATGTAGAATGGCGGCAGAGAAGTGTCGGTGCGCAGAAACAACGACGGGTCAGCAGTAGAGGGAGCAAACCCAAGAGCCGCAAGCGTAGTCCTCAGTGTGTCGTGCCACTCACGCGGTGCCTGGCGGAGACCGTAGACTGGCCGTCGGAGGCTCCACTGGGTGCCAGGAGGGAAAGTCCCAGTGAAGCCAGGTGGACGACGCAGCCAGATCTCCTCGTGCAAGCTACCCTGCAAGAAAACAGTGCTAAAGTCAAGAGAGTGGAGCTCGTAGTCGCGCTGAGCGGCTATGTGCAGCAACACCCGAAGAGTGGTCATCTTCGCGGTGGGAGAGAAGGTCTGAAAGTAGTCAACTCCCTGCCGCTGACTGAAGCCACGAGCCACGTACCGCGCCTTGAAGACAGGTGGAGAGCTCGGCGGCCGCTTCACCCTGAAGATCCAAATGCCGCTGACGATGTTCGCCCCAGGAGGGGGAACCGCGTCAACGTAGGTGCCTGTGGACTTCCAGGAAGCCATCTCTGCATCCATAGCTGCCTGCCACTGAGAGGAGTAGGGACTCTCTACGGCCTCCGCGTAAGAGCGCGGAGTGGGGATGTCTAGTGCATCCGGGTCTCCCTCAGGGGCAAGCAGTACAGACGCGAGATGAGGTGAAGCAGCAGCCAGACACTGAAACTCCTCCTGCCTGTCCTCAAGGACGTCCGTGCCAAGAGCACACTCACCCCCGACGGACGGAGGACAGACACACGCAGACTCAGCAACAAGACTAGCAGCGTAGTCTAGACGACAGCGAGCAGCAAAGTCGACGAGCTCAGCAACAAGAGCAGACGCAGCAGTGGACTCAAAGGAGGGGTCAGTGACGACAGTAGCAAGGAGACGCGTGACAGTAGGATTGGCAGCACGAAGAGAGTCCGACTCAGGGTCGGCAAGCGCAGGAAGAGAGGACTCAGGAGGAGAGGGCAAAGGGGCACGCAGAGGAGCAGTGGACAGACGCAGAGACATCCGGTGCGTGCCAGGGACAGGAGGAGGACGCTGACGCGAACTGCGACCACTAGTGCAAGCAGCTCGAACAGGCGACGCAGGACGAGACGCAGGCTCACGACGCTCAGCAAGACCTCCAGTAGGACCAGTGTAGGGAGAGGGAGAAGGCAGTGGGGAGGCCGGCGGTAACTGTGACTGCGACTGGACAGGCGGTGGACCCTCTAAGAGAGGAGGAAGACCAAGAACCTGCTGAAGGAGCGGAACGAAGTACGGCCGAGGCCGCGCGGCGGCACCAGACACAGCAGGGACAGCACCAGCACCCTCAGCACCTCCGGCAACACCAGCGCCAACAGCACCTCCAGCGGCAGGACCTCCAGCAGCGCCAGCAGCACCCGCAACACGACGACCACCAG